GCAAGGCGGCTGCCAGGTAAGACGGCACACAGGATTGTTGTTGCTGCTGCTGACTTTGGTTGTTGGAGAAAAGGGTGCCTTTTGATTTTGCAGTGCTGGGAATCAAACCCAGGGCCTCGTGCCTGCTAGGCAAACACTCCCCTGACAACTTGGTCATCCAACCAGGCACGGGTTTTACAACAGAAGTTTGTTTTACAATTTGGCATACACTTTCAATGAGGATAAAAACACGGTGTAGTGAACACATAACTTGTAGCATTGCTGGTAGTTATTATTGAGTCCAATGGACTATACAGAATTAATGCGCTCTGCTCCCCCATGACTGGTACTGTAGAAGGCTTGGTTTACAACAGGGTTACCACAAACGCAAGTACCATGTTTGACTATGACCAGGTGAGAGATACTGTCACCAAGCTATAGGATTTTTTTCGGATCCTTGTAAACTTGTGGGACCACCATAATGTATGCAATCTGCTACTAACTAACTGGATGTCATTCTTCGGGGAATGACTATATGCCAAAGTTATGTATTCCAACTTCTGAAATGGGGATAAAGAAAAGGACTAAATGAGATAAAATATAAAACATGCTGCGCTTCTGAAGAACGTGTTTTGTTTAACCAACACCAGCCATCTAAAGCTGGCTTACTGGTTTTAAATAGTTTCACATTTGTAAAAAAGTCTATAGTGTGAAGGAAACATAAATGAAATTGCTCATTTCTTTGTTAATAATGACTTATTTCAGACCAACTTCTTATCAAAACATTTTTAATATTCACTTTTTATTTTATTGCTGTGTATGTGTGAGGTGGGCTGGGGGTATGCATGCCAGGGCAGGCTTATAAGAGGTCAAGAGGGCAATTTTATGGAGCTGACTCAATATCTACCTGCTGTGGAATGGTCTTTCTGTATGCTGTGAAAATGTGTTGCTACTCTTGGTTAATAAAGAAGCTGTTTTGGCCTATAGTAAGGCAGGATAAGAGCCAGGCAGGAAATCCAAGAGAGATACAGGGAGAAGAGGGCAGAGTCAGAGCAGACGCCAGCCTACCACCCAAGGAGCAACATGTCAGAAGACTGGTAACGCCACGGCCACGTGGCAAAACATAGATTAATAGAAATGGGTTAATTTAAGATATAAGAGCTAGCTAGCAAGAAGCCTGAGCCATAGACCAAACAGTTTATAATTAATAATAAGCCTCTGAGTGGTTATTTGGGACAGAGCAGCTGTGGGACACAGGAAAACTTCTCTCTACATCTACCTTAACACAGATTCCAAGGATAGAACTCAGGTTGTCTCACAGACCCTTTATCAAATATTGACAGAATTATAAGTGTAGGTTTAGGTGATAGTTTCCTATGGCTTTTCAGAAGCCAAACAAAGATTGATCTAAAAAACCTACTGTTCAATGGGCAGTGGTGGCGCACGCCTTTAATCCTAGCCCTTGGGAGGCAGAGGCAGGCAGATCTCTGAGTTCCAGGCCAGCCTGGTCTACAGAGTGAGTACTACAACAGCCAGGGCAACACGGAGAAACCCTGTGTCTCAGAAAACCAAAAATAAAAGAAAGAGAAGAAAACCCGGTGTTCAAACGGTGTATGCACCAACAAGCCAAAGCAGCACACCAACAAACATGGAATGTTTGCTCAGCACAAAGCATCGCCTGTAATGAGTGCTGTCTTGGAGAAAAGGCTCTGTGTTAACCGTACCCAGAAAATTCCCTTAATGACATGTATTTTCACAACAGCTTCCACATTAATAATGCAGTTCAAATGAACCAATTAATATAGAAATTTTACATGTATGATTTTGGAGGGTTGACTGTATTTTTCTCTCAGCGATGAACAAAATTCCATGACCACACCTGCCTGAGAAGAGCAATATATTATTGTCTATGTAATAACATGGGATCTTAAGCGAAGCTGAAAGCAAACTGAACTATGTTGTAATAGAAGGCAATTTAACATAAAATGCCAAGTCTGGACTTTGAAGCCAGAAACCCCTGCCTGTGGGTCCTCATTCTCACACACGTAAGACCTTAGACGATTTCTTTTCCCTGCAAAGGATTTTACCACATAGAACTGCCATGAGAAATCGGAGGCCTTCTCGGAGCTGGCATTTAGAGGTTTCCAGAGTGAACATGCGTATCGCATTTCCTTTCTAGAAGAAATAAATTCGGTATAAATTCAAGAGGATGAGAAGGGACAATAACGGAGCAGTGATGTGACGTATAAGGAGAGCAGAAGTGGATGGAGGCATGGTAACCAGGCAGAAGGAAGGCAGAGAGGACGTGGTAAAGGGGAGTCCACTGGGCTACTCCCAAAGAACCCAGGAAGAGCTGGGACCAAAACCCCCGCAGACCTGGAAGGTGTCCCAGAGCACAAAAGGAATGAACGGCGAGAGGAAAGGCCATGAGCCACGTCAGGAGCCACCGTGCAGCTCTGAGACTGTCCTGCGTCTCCTGCAGGACTTTTTGAAGCAGCATAGACGCGGCACACTGCCAGCCCCCAAGTTACTACTTTAAAAGAATAACAATAACACTAACCTTGTCAGAGGAAGAATGAGAGAACGGGCCCATTTCTGCGGGGGGCCTCAGCCGGGTTTGGCTCCGGCCTCTCCAGCCAGCCAGGGCTCCATCAATTCAAAGCCGAACAAATGACTCATGAATTCTAATCCACTCTTCTGGTCTCAGCTTTCTTCTTCATGCTGGGAGGCCAAATTATAGTATTTTATTATTTTGTCTCTTTACTGTGTACTTTATTTATCTCTGTTTGTGCTGCCTAGTTTTGGGGCAGTTTTTCAAAAGCTCTGCTTGCTCCTACGGCTATTTTTATTCATGGTAAAAACCACTGGTGGCTGTAATGCACCTCTCCCAAGCTTCGAGATTTCTGTTATATTCCTGACACCCTGCCAGCTTCATTAGGCTGGAGCAGAATGCTGAAACTCTATGCGGTGTGTTGATTTCAGTGTTCTCACAGCACATTAATCCTTTTCTGGAGTCAGATTCTGCTCCTAGTTCCTCGTACAGTGCCCACAAGCCAACCTTCAGGAATCAACAGACCAGGGCAAATGGAGAGCAGTCTTCTAATCCGCCTGACAGTGTGCTCTCACCCACCCTTCTCTCTGTTTGGAATCTCTCAGACACAGTGCCCATTGGCACCAGGGCCGCTTTGATCTTGTTTACAGTGTATTGTATTCTCACAAGGTAGCACAATGGTTGGCACATAGTAAGTATTCAATAAATACATACTGAGCGGATAAATGGGTTGTTCCGTGTGTGTGTGTGTGTGTGTGTGTGTGTGTGTGTGTGTGTGTGTGTGTTTGTGTGTGATAGAAAGGGGGGCAGGGAGGTCACTCACGTAACAGCCCTGCCTGGCCTGGAACTCACTCTGTAGATCAGGCTGGTCTTGAACTCTCAAAAGATTGGCCAGCCTCTGCCTCCTGAATGCTGAGATCAAAGGCGTGGGGCAGCATGCCTGGCTGTTGATAGATGTCTGTCTACAGTCTAAAGATGGATCTATTTTATGATGGTGTTAATTTGTGTTAGAAATTTCCAGGCGGCAGTAAGGGCCCTGGAAAGGAAGGGAAGAGAACCAAGATGGGTTTTACTGACAATATCCCTCTTGAGCCAGCTGTTAGTGACGCCTGTCACCCAACCTGACAAAGGACCCAGCTTAAGAGGTCGAAAGAGAACTGACTCCTCCACTTGTCCTCCCGTCTCCACACATAGGCAGGGACCCACACTCACACCACTACACACATACACACACACATTAATGGAGGAATAAATGTGTTTTTAAATCTTGTAAGTAATAGCCTCTCACTAATTTCTCCACTGACCTTTTGTAGGAGGCCATACCTCACCTGCACATCCTTCCTGGCCTGGTCCTGCCCAGCATCAACACACGTCTTTTCCATGAAGTATTCTGAGGGCTACTTCTCATTGCTCTGTGCACCTCAAGCTCCAGTGGCCAGGGGGGCTCCCCTGCTGGCAGGCAGAACATGCTCTCTGAAGGCACGTGGGACGGTAACCCTCTCTCTTGGAGCCCAGCCCTTTATGATGGCACCCCATTGGGCATGTTTTGTGTCTTCTCTTCCCAGCCCTGCTACAGATTCCTTGAGCGGAGCCTGCGCCCCATATTTCTCATTCTTTCTGTCCAGGCGCCACCTAAGGTGCAAGTCATCCACTTCCAAGGCTCGATTCCCAGTCACTCCACCGCTCCATCAGAAAGCAGGATGAGATGATAAGACAAGGCCAAGAATAGGAGATGATACAGGGTAGAACACATCCAGCCAAGACAGTTAGACCCCAATAGTCTATTAGGTTCAATTCCTCTGAATTGCTGAATGAACGAAAAACACAGCAACAAAGCAAAAGCTTGCAGAACCGTTTAGCAACCCCCGATTCCTTTCTCATATCCTTCCACCGTTAACAGCAGACTCCACACAGCCTCCAACAGCTCTACCAGGCCCTCCCGAGGCTGGAGTGGGCTTCACTTCAACGTGATTTTAAAAATGCAGATGCTGAACCACCTGGAAGTCATAGCCGGGTTTTCCGAGCTGGGAGAGCTCTAAGAGATCAAGTTTAAGTTATAATTCCCAACCAAAAAGTCCTTCGTCTCCTTTCAAAATATGCACGACCCTGAGGCAATAGCAAGAATAACCTAGTAAAAGCTTGTGTGAACTTTTTTTGGGAAGAGGATTTGGGGCTTGAAGGGGTCGTGCTGTCAAAATGTCACAGATCAGTCCTGGAGGAAGTCTTGGATGTCATAGACCAAAGAGCCTAACCCAGGAGCCCAGACTGGGCGCCCAAGGAGATGCAGCCCGTGGGAAGACAGCCAGCTATGACTCAGTTTCCCTGACTGCCAGCTCCCATCTCTCCTCCCGCCTTCCACCCCGTTCCTCTTTCTGTTATAAAGAAATGTTCTTTGTGGCCCCATTTGCTCTTCCCGGATCTGACCCATGCCGTTGCTGATGTTTTGCTCCCTTACATTTTAAGCACCTTCCATTTGCCTGCTTTCCCTCCCCCTGATGACGCCCACGGAGCTGTAATCTTCTCACTTCCCTTTTTCTATTACCACCTCACCTGGCCTTTGCTCCCTCTCTTTTCTGCTACACATGGCATGTCTCTGGGTGCCCTTTGTCCTCGCGTTCTGATTTTATGAGAAGTGTTTATTTCCATGTTTTCGGTATTTGCCGGGATGTATTCTCACCGAGCTGATGGCGAAGCCCTTCTCTCTCAGCGGGAAGCTGCTGCTCACGGCAATTACGCCTGCTGTCTCCCTTTTCATTTTCCTTCAGCTCGTGAGGAAATTGTGCTTCCAGAAACCCCATGAATTCTTTCTGAAACTCTTACGTAACCCAGTGTGTTCAGCCATTTCTTTTCCATCCATATATTTTTTATGTTTGGCTGGGCATTTGGGCTCATTTCCCCTCCAGATAATTTGGTGGTGATTTGATCTAAAGTTCCTCTCAGTCTGTTGATGATCTCCGCCATCCCTGTGGGTGGCTTCCGTGGCCATCAGACTCGGCTGATACTTGAATCATCTGCTGCAGAGAGAGTCTACCCTGCCAGTTTTGTTCTTTGTGAGTCTGTTTGCTGATTTGTTTGTTTGTTTGTTGGGGGGGGGGGATTTTTGCTGCTGTCGTATATTTCTGAGAGGGAGAAGGAATGTTACTGCTGGACACACTCTTTGGGCTAAGGTCTAGCATGCGTCCTTGAATGTCAAGTTGAATTCACTCTCTCTTCAAAGAGCAAAACTCTATGTGTATTATGTTTCTGGGAATGATTCTAGAATATCAGAATTTTATTACCCAGCTTTTCATTACTATAACAAAATATCTGGGATGAGAACTTAGAAACAAGGATGGCTAATTTTGTCTCACAGTTTTGGAGACTTCAGTCCATGAAGGTGGATGGCCGCTGGTTGTCTCCGGGTCCGTGGCATCATGACGGGGAGTACTTAGTGGAGGAAGAGACTCACCTCATGATAGTGAGAAATAAAAAAGAGAAGACTGACCTGAGTCCCAATAATCCCTTTCAAGGACACACCTCCACGTGACTGAAAGACTTCCAATAAGGCTCCACCCCTTAAGGATTCTACTACCTAATTGTGGGCCGGGAGACATACCTTTAATGCATGGGTCGTTGAAGGTGACTAATTCAAACCATAATGTGGAGAGTATTTCACCAGAACTGATATACAGGTTTCAATATATCCATAAACAGACCAGCACTTAAGCTGAGTCATCAAGTCTGCCTCCTCCATCTACACAGTACCAGCCCTTCGCCCTGCTCTGCTCTGGAAGTCAGGGTTTCCTCACTAGAGAGGACCACTGGAAATCTCAAGGCAGAAGTCAGGTCCTTACAGTGCCAAGCTGGAGTTCAGAGGAGGCCAGTGGAGAAAAGGGAAGGGGCTGGGGATGCGTGACTGAGAAAAGGAAAGAGAGAGCAACTCGGGTCCTGGTGGCCCTTTCTTTGAACTGTGACTCCATAGTGAATGTGACTTAGGAACACATGAGATACGGATCAGTGGCAGCCACTGGATCTTGGAACATGGAAAGGACAAATTCATTCCAAACCCCACTTCACAGAGAGGTAACACAGGCCTCTCCTGGTCGGCCCAGCTGTAAGGCTAAAAAGACTCCACAGAGTCCATAACAAAGCCTTGCCGAGGCGTGAGGCAAGGCCTGAGACCCACAAAGCTGTCACAATGGCATTGGCCTGTAACCTACTCATTCTCCAGGTGCTAACGCACCCTTGTGAACCTTGAACCCGTTCAAAGTGCAAGATAGATCAACAGGCTAATATAACCGGGTATGACAAACTCATTGATAAGCCTGGGGGTGTGGCTCAGTAGTCGAGTACTCGCCTTGCCAGTGTGAGGCCATCGATTCTGTCCACACCCCTGCAAAGAAAAGAAGGAAAAAACCTCAGTGAAATCATTCCAGATTCTCTATTATAACGAGCTTTTGCTGTTCTTGTTGGTTTCCCAGGACCCACACCTGGACGTTCACAACTGTAATGGCCCATAGCTAGGCAGGACATATAAGCGGGACTTCTGGAAAGAGAGAGAGAGCTCTGGGAAGAAGAAAGGTGAGTTGCCAGACAGATGCAGAGGAAGCAGGATGGGCAAAATGGAGATTAGGTAACAAGCACATGAAAGAACATAGATTTAAAAATATAGGTTAATTTGCCGGGCGGTGGTGGCGCACGCCTTTAATCCCAGCACTCGGGAGGCAGAGGCAGGTGGATCTCTGTGAGTTCGAGGCCAGCCTGGGCTACCAAGTGAGTTCCAGGAAAGGCGCAAAGCTACACAGAGAAACCCTGTCTTGAAAAACCAAAAAAAAAAAAAAAATATATAGGTTAATTTAAGTTATAAGAGCTATTTAGGAACAAGCATAGGATAAGGCCAAGCTTTCATAACTGATAATAAGTCTCTGCATTGTTTTCTGTGTTTTTTGTTTTGTTTTGTTTTGTTTTGTTTTGTTTTGTTTTGTTTTGTTTTGTTTTGTTTTGTTTTGTTTTGTTTTTGTAAGCTGGCAGCCCAAAGAAAAATCCGCCTACACAGAAACAGATGTGAGAATCCAGGAATCCAGGTATGGTAGAACAAACTATCATGAATCATCAAACAACAATGCTCTCCACACTAGTTTCATAAAACTCTAAAGCATTTTAAAATGCTGTGTTAAAGGGTTTACACTTATTGCTGAATAACTTATTTTAAACAAATGGACTAACATTTAGTAATACTTTAATCTTTACAAATTTTAATTTCTAAGAGTAATGATGAAGATATATCTATCTAGAAATTAGTGGTCAAAGGGACAGACACTGTCTTATGACAGTCCCTCCAGGCTAGTGTTTGACTTTCAGCCTTTCTCCAGCAAGCTAATCCTGGGTGCTCAGATGTTAACTGTGTTGCTGGGAAGAGATCTCCCCAGGGTCAGAGAAGGAAATTTTAGGGCAGTCCCCTCCCATGACTTAGGAAGAGCTCAAAGCTTCTGCTTGAATAAGAGACCATGTGAAAGAGGGAAAAAAATCCCTCAGCAGGTGAAGGTACCACACCTGAGATAGGCTTTAAAAAACCACTCACAAGAATGGGATCTAAACCACTAAGAGAAAAGGCTAAGGACCCTGACAGGTGACCTCCAGACATGGCCACATGGCTGTGAGCAGTGATGAGTCCACAGACCAGCTCTGAGCTCCCAGGCCTTAAAGGATGGCAGAGCTTGGCAAAAGGCCATTGGGAAGGAGCTGAGGACTTTAGACTCTGACCTCTCTAAGGATTTGCAGTCTCCTTCCTGTATCCCCCATTGGCCAAACCCAAAGAAGCCAGGGAACCCCTGTGAGAGCTCACACATGCACACAACCTTCCAAAGCACCTCATAAGTGAAACAATTTGAGGACAGCTCAGAAGACCCCAAATATACAAGGATGAGTTAACAGATTGGTAGGATGCCAACAAATGAGACTAGAACCCCAGATCCAACAACTAAGGAACACACATTTCTTCCCAAGCACACACAGAAAACATGTACAAAAACTGACTGTTCTGGTGGAAGCCCCACCTCAGCCCCTGGCACCCACATACCCAAAGAGTCTGGAATGTTCTGGTGGAAGCTCCACCTCAACTCCCCTCCAATCTCTCTCTCCCCAAACCCACCCTCTCAAAGCCCACCAAAAGCCAGCCCCTCCCTGAGGCTGCTGAAGACCATGCCTACAGGGTACTTAAGACCTGGTAGCCATATTTGCCAGGTGACTCTTCCCCAGCCTTTCCAAGGGTCACCCAGGATTGCTTTGCTCTGTTCATTAAACCTGGATTTATTAATTCAGCTTGATTGGCTTTCTACATCAGCGGCAGCAGATACCCAGCAACCAGAGATTTAAAACTTATTACTGACTAGAATTCTAAGCCAACAAGCATATGAACAAATGTTCAAAACCCAATATCAAAAAGAACCCACTTTCTGATCACAAAACAGTTTGATGGTGTGAGAACAGATGTCAATGACAGAAAGGTGGAGGAGAGAGAATCCTATGCATTTGGAAATTTTAAGAATAACCTTCTAAGGGATGAGGTCATTAGAACACAATGTGACCAAGGCACTGGACTCAGTTCCCAACACCACATCTCAAAAAGAATGGGCTTCTAATCACTTGGGGGGGGGCATATAAATCTAGATATCTGCATAAAGTAATGAAAATCCAGCATATCAAACCTTGTGGATGTTGCAAACACAGAGAGGTATATATCCTTCCCTGCCTGTATTGGGAGATTTTAAAACTAAGAATTAGTAAGCTGAGCATCTCACTTCAACACCAAACAAAAACCAAGAATGATAAAATTATAAACGCAGAGTTGAAAGAAATAGAAAAACAAGATACAGAAAATCAGCGAAGCCTAGTGCTGTCCTATGATAATCTAAAACTCTTTCTGAGGTAGAGCGAGGAGGAGGAAAGAAGGAAGGGATTGTCCGCAGTGAGAGTGTATTATTAGGTGATTTCATGGAGTCTGATCAAATGGCAAGGTCCACAGCATCCCCTGCCCAGCCTAACCTTCCAGCCTCTGGCCAAAGATGTGTGTGAGGTCCAGGCATCACTAGGTGAGGATAAAAACACAGATGGGATGCTGAGCTCCTGGAGTGCAGGAAGAGAAGGTGCAAAGCTCCTGCAAAAGTCCAGAACCTACCTGAGAAGTTAAACAAGGAGGGAGATCGCGCCTCTTCACCTTATCTGTAGCCAGCTCTGTGTTTGTTATTCATGAAGTGGGAACTAACATTTAAATGGGATTTGGGGTGCTGAAGGGCTCTCCATGGTCACAGAAAATCTTTTTGCTGTGCAGTTTGGGGAATTTTCTCTGAGCCCTTTTGTATTTTTCCACTTTTCTTTCTCGGCTTTATAATACCTTTTCTACAGGGACCACAAATCCCTTCACAGTGCTCGGCCAGCTCTGTAAAATGGAGACCCATTTACACACGCTATCTCAGGATGTGTGGACCAGAAATAAAGCACACTCCTCACTCACCCAAACCCCTGGGTGTTACATTCACCGAACACCGTGAACCAGGTGCAAAGAGTCATTTCTGGCTTCATAATTACTGAGGGGAAAAGCATTTCAAAACCAGAGGTGTGGAACTAAGGCTTGCTTTTGACGGCAACCCTACAAGACATACTAAATCATTGCCAACCACGCCACTCTCATGAATTAGTAATATTAACGCCAATTCAGAATCCACCTATTTCTGTTTTGTGTATCCCAAACCACAGATAAGCCACGTTTTTACATGAAAATACAGCTTTTTAAATGAAAATACTTTCACTCAGCAAAATCTACTGAAAATCTGTTTGTTTAGATTTTTGTATTTTATGTATGACTATTTTGCTTGAAAAGACTTCTGTGTCATATGCATCCTGAAACCGAGGTCTGGGCCATTGTGAGCCACCACATGGGTGCTAGAACTGAACCTGAGTTCTCTACAAGAACAACAAATGCTCTTAACCACTGAGCTGTCTCTCCAACCCATGAAAGTCTTTCTGACTCTTGAAATGATGTCATTAATCTTTTAAAATAGTCTGTGTAGTTGGGGAAAAAAATCTTTATTCCAATTTTTGGAGATTCAATTCATCCTGTAACTCAAAACATTTGTATTCTTCCTTCCAAGAAACAGTCCCAAGAAAACTCTTTCATTTCTTATTCTAACTAAAAGATAAACAGTCTAAAAATGACATGTTCTGCTACTTTACACACCCACATTTAAGAAATGCCTGTGTATGTAATGGCACTTTTATGGAATTCCAGCACCCCAGGAGGTACAGGCAGGAGGACCAAGAGTTCAAGGCCAGCCCAGGGAACATGAGACCATGTCTAAAGAAGAAAAATGGACCAAAGTTTAATATTATCCTTGTAGCAGTAATTTTAAATTCTCACTCTGGCCATTTGTAATGACCGTGGCTAGAATATGTATCTATAAGTGAAGAGCATCCTTAATCTCCAGCCACTTCTTCAACATATTAGAACTTTAATTTAATTTTTTGGGTTGAGGGGGGTTGTTTTATTTTGTTTTTTGGTTTTGCTTTTTTGGTTTGTTTGGGGTTTTTTTTTATTTTGTTTCATTGTTGTTGTTGTTTTTGGTTTAGTTTGGTTTTTTGAGATAGAGTTTCTCTGTATAGCCCTGGCTGTCCTGGAACTCACTTTGTAGAGCAGGCTGGCCTCAAACTCAGGGCTCTGCCTATTTCTGCCTGTCTGTGCTGGTATTAAAGACATGTACCACCATGCCCAGTGAGAACTTTAATTTTAAAAAGAATTTCCCTGTGCTTTAATATTTGATTATAATGAGATCTCCTAGGCCATTACTAGTCTTTTCTAGATTTTTGAGTTTTCGTCTTAAATTTGGAACACACACACATATGTATATATATATGTCATATACATATATATATCAGCTTCTGTTTTAGCTTAATGACACAAAAATAAGAAAGAGATAATCTCTGAAATTACCCAATGAAAATGAAGCATCATAGCCTGACTGACAGCTCCAGCTTTGGTCTCTATCTGACCTTAGTATTCTTACTCTCAGACCTAAGACACAGGTAATGTAATAAATCTCCAGTCTAAAGCTCATTTTACACACAAATTCTTCTCAGCTCTTCATAAAAAATTACTATAAGCAAAGTAGCAACTTTTTTTCCTTTGAAATCTGAGCACATTTTCATTAAACAAAATGTACTGTGATTCTATGACAGGTCATACTGCCCATAGTTTAGAAATGGGTGTGAAGGCCCATCTGCACCATACAAGGGAGTCATTGAAATGGAAGTCGAACTCCTGGGTAAGAGCAACACTTAATTTCCACCCACAATCGCGGGACTCTAGCATGTAAATGAAGTGTTCCCTGAACAGGCATTACATGGGCGTTCCCAGGAAGACAGCCACAGTCTATCATTTCAATGGTCCCAGTCCAGAGGATCTCGAGTCACTTTGATACGACAGACGGTGACAGCTTCATAGGCCCTGCTTTGGGCCACTGGGTCCATGCCCAGTGGGAAAGAGAATGAAAATGGCCCGATGAGTCACCAATGGCTGCAGCCAAGCCCTTCGTCCCAGCTGGCGTAGCAATGGCTTTTCCACATTGGGCTCGTAAACTGGACCCACACAAGGGAGGGTTTTGTGTGGTTTGGCTTTAAGAGGCTGAAATCCAGCCAGTGCAGAAAGACGCCAACCAGCTAACTTGATGTTCGAGTCTAAACCCTCAGCAAGGTTCAGGGGTACTCGCAAAACAGATAGGCACACCCTGGAATACCACGGGGCAACGGTTTCTTGGGAATTATTGCTCCAAGCCTTGTCTCGTATTTGAAGGGTAGAATTGCTTAGTAACTCACTTTTTCCTGTAGGGATCAGGTGAAACGGCGTTCTATTTTGTGCCAATCCAGCACTAGCAGCTATATATCCCCCCCGCCCAAAAAAAGAGTCCTCATATAGCAGTCTAGTGTCAGCGATCACTTGTTTGTGGAGGAAAGTAGGATCGATGCTGTATGGCAGGGATGGCTTGAGTACCATCAGGTATCTGCTACCAAACCCGGAATGTGACAGGTGCTCGGCATGATGTGGTACAAGCCAGTGTGACACTGGGCATTTCTTAGCTATGGAGGTTGGACCTGTACCACCCAGCCTCCTGCTTTCCTTCTCCCTAGGAGGCTGCATCCGCAGCAAGTCTGGCTGGAGGTGGGTGTGGCAGACCAGCCGCCACTTTTATGTCCCAGAGTACTCTGGAGTAGGGAGAAGTGAGAAATATTAGCTAGAAAGAGAGACCTAGATGAAGAGAGGAAAGACAGAAACACAGGATAGCCTCGGGAGGGCCTGGGTCAAACCCACCAGCCCTGAACTTTATTCCAAAGGGCTTTTGATCACAATGCCAAGGGGAGGAGCAAAGACCTCCCCCTTGTGAGATACAGCCACGTGTAGACCCTTCCAAACACCTGCACTCAGGCCCATGGTCCAATCATCCTCTTTATGCAGACGTGCTGGGCAGAGCCACCAGGAAACCCAGATGGGCTCCAACAGGTGAGGATGACATCCACAACACTGAGCAAACTTCATCAGAGAACAGACCTATTTAGGAGAAAATTGCCCATAATTTGGCCTGATTAGTATCATTCCTTCCTGATACCATCAACCCATGGAAAACACCACCCCTGGCTATATTGTGTTTTAAATATAAAGGCAAATATCTACATATTGACATCAAATAATGTATTTCCAGGAAATAAGTGTATATATGTATACAGATAAGCACATATCCAGTATCATGAGAACTTGTATGTTTGTTTTCCTAGTAGCTCTTTCAAGAGTAAATCTTGATTTCTGTCATTTTTTGGTAACATTTGCTTTTAAATATGTGAATATCAATAATAACCTTTTCTTCATATTTGGAGATGACCTTCGACATGTAAGTTAATGTTCTCTCCTGTAACACAGTGATGATCTTGAGGCTCGTTAATGTACAAGAGTCCCCTTTTGCTGTTACACTGAAAGACTTCAATTCAGGGGAAACATGGGTGTTTTTTTCTGCTTCCTGGCTTGCTTAGCTTCTGCCCTCGAGGAAAGATGGCCACTGTCCCTGCTGTCACATGTGAGTTGGGATTCTCCAAGGAACAGCACCAATAAGAAGGGATTTACCAGGTTGGCTCACATGATCAGAAGCTGAGGATGACCCACAGTGGCTGGCTGTAGGCTGAAGGAGAGCCAGGAATGCTCAGTGGAAAAAGCTAGACACCCCAGAACAAGAGGAAACAAAGATGTCGCCCCAGTTGGAGGCTCTGGTGAGGCACCGGTGGGTGGGCTTTTCAATGGCTGATGTTCTGGGGGTGCTGTGTCCTGTCACAGGAGCAGGCCTGCACTCTGGAGGTGCTGTGTCCTTCCACAGGAGCAGGCCTGCACTCTGGGGGTGCTGTG